GTTCTACAATGCCTAGATTTCAGAGGGGAATAGTGTCACTTCTGTAACTGACACAGAGCCCAGTCACACTCTCCCCTCTAAATTCCTCCTTCCCTTCACAACAGCCTTAGCAACTGACAGACAACAGACTAAGAAAACCAAAGTCATGGAACTAGTGTAAAGAGCAGTTTTATAATGTCTACATTTCTGAGCGAGGTGGTGCCACTTCTGTACGTTACATGAGCTCTGTTACATGAACATTAATACACAATATATATATACCTATATTTCATTATTTCAAACAAATCCCTTACCTTTCTACTATTTCACATGCATCTTTTTTTGTATACTCAGCTTTATTCGGGTCAAGCTGATTCTGAAACCAGAGAAGTTTATCCCCTAGAAGAAAATAAAGCAAATAAGCAAACAGAAGCAACACGATACAGTACCATTTTCAAATTTGCAAGTAAAAAAAAATATAGCTCACCTATGGCATTCAGACGAATAGCTTTTTCAACTTTTTGTCTGAAAGGAAAATGAAAATATGCATTATACCTCTAACCTTAAAATAAGGACTGGGGCTCAATGTATCAAGCATTTTCTAGCAAACCACTTCAGCTGGAAAGGATGGGAACACTTACAAATTAATCTATTTAGTTTTCTTTGAATACCGTGTACTACTTGTGCTCAACCATACTGGTGTATTTCCTTTTTTCCTTACATTTTTTACCTGGTGTTAAATAAGATTATTTCAAAATATAAATAGCACAATGGAACAATATACTTCAATTTCTCATAAATGCACATTTTATTTCATTAAGAAAAAAACCTGCTGGTGTTGCAAATAACATATTTCTGTATTACTGTCTATAATCAACTCATGAATGAGACTGAACAAGTTGTCCTAGAAGATACAAAGTAGGAAGTGTAGTTTTAAGAAATCCTGCTGAATTCTAAGGCATTTCATATTAGCATAAAAAGAGGAAAGCGCATAAAAAGTGGGGGACTGGACTGGAGCAGTTAAAATATTCCCAACTACGCTGCCAAGAGCCCATCTGATGAAGTTTCCACTCCATAAGCAGTGTTGCATCCTGCACGTCAGCAGTTTGAATACAAGCTGCGACACCCTCTGTTACTTCTGAGTTCCCAATAGTGACAAACAAATTGCCTGACAAATGCCAAAGTTGGCTGAAGTTGTACTGACATGTTGTGTTTTGTCACTGACTGGGTACCAGCAGTTCTGTCATTGGGTGAGTTTCCTCCAACCCCCTGTATTCTACAGCTTCCAAACTGCTTCACAAAAATCTACAACTTCACCGTCACAGATACACCATGGACTCCCTTTTTAAAAGTAACTCTTCAAGATAAAAACATGTTTTACATCATGAGTTTCAGTTATAAAATGGATGCTGTGAAATGTTCTATGCAAGCCTTTTGAGGAAATAAAAAATGAAGGCGTTAATAATGAAACCTATGATGGTTATAATAATGAAATGAAAATGCTGCCCATTTGTTTTTTTTTATGTACAATTTACATAAAAGCGTAACAACATTTCTCATTTCTTAATTCAAGTGAGAAATGTTTACAGATGGGAGAATAAAAAACATTTGTGACACATCCCTTAAAATGACAACTCAGGTCCAGAAATAACACCAAGTTCAACACATTTGCAAAGCTCATGGGGGAGCTTATGAGCACAACTTTAGGTTTGCCACAGCTTAGCTTGAGTTCTTTTGTATTCATTCTTTTAATATCAATGACCCGGTAATGTGCAAAATCCACAGCGGCAGTATCTGATCTGCTCTGAAAATAATTCAGTCACCATGACATCAAAACTCATGTCCAGGATGGCAAATAATTACACCAAGATGCAAGACGAAATAGTAAAGACCCCAGCACAAAACCTAAACGTAATAGCATCAGTTTTTAAACAGCCAAGATTAGATTTATAAATTGCCTCTTAGGTAGTCAAAAAGGAGCCAAATCAATGAAGGAATACAGAAGTGATACATACATAATGTTCCCAGTGCAAAGGCTGTATCAAGCAGTGTCAAGAGCTGCACTTAGGTACAGACGTAAATGAATATGCAGTGACCTAGAGTGGGGAGCAAATCGTTAAGTAATTTAACAAGGGCTGTTCCAATGCTAGGTCTGTCTAAATCTGACTGAAAAGGTTCAAAGAGTTTAATACATGTCATTTGAGACTGCAATTGTTATAAGTGTTTTGCTGTTAAATAATTGCTTGAAGGTCTTACAGTATTCAGTAGAGGGAGCAAAAGGACATGAATTAACCGGTTTGAGTATTTATGAAAATCTTATTAGACTGGGAATTCTGCTGTAACATGGTAGTTTAATATAATTTGAGGTCTGCAAAATGTTAACCCAAATTTTGACACTAGAATTCTTTTTAAAAAGTTGCCTGATTCACATTGAAAAGACTGGTCTGTGATGCCTTCGATACCCAACATCAATGCATGTGATCTTTACTGGTGGGAGAAAGCCAAACTAACCAATGCACTATTTACATTTTTCTGAGAAAGGACATTTTACATACTAATGTAGTGCATCTTGCTTATTAAAACATCATAATCATGTGGAAAAATAACCCTATAAAAAGCTTGGCATATTCTTGTGGAAATACAGGAAGGAGACACACGTGCAGGTCTCATGGGTCGATGGTATTTTTCAATTATTGTATTTCTTTGCTCGCTCTTTTTCCAAGAGATCAAAAGCACTATGGAATCCGCCAGGTGTTCTTACCTTTCCTTCCTTTCCTGTTTGATAACCCCTCTCGCTATCTGAGCAGCCTTTCTGCTGTAAGGGTGAACAACCTTCTTCTCCGCCGCTCCTTTGCCTTTGGGGGCTTTAGGCTAAGACACGGCGGTGTGAAACAAGTGTGTTGGTTAGTGCTTTACCCACTATGACATACTTACACATATATACAATGTCCAAAACATTAAGACATATATTAAAGGTAACAAAAATCTTAAGGGAATGCTACTGAAAACGCTTCAACACTTAATAAAATTGGAAATTTTCTCTTACGTACGATAAAACAGAAACCCCATTTTAGGGGGACTAACATTAGAGATAAATGTCTGGATTATTCAGTTGTGGAAAAGGGTGCCTTTTCTGCACAATAGTACTTGATAGAGATAGTTTACATGTACTGCAATTGAACACGACTAGTGTTCACTTGGTGTAGTGCTGGCTATCAAGGAGTTTAAATTAAAATAAAATAGGCATACGTTTTTTATTTTTACCTCGGTGTATGTTACCTTGAAGCCATCTCAACATAAGGACGTTATTATATCAACTCTGCATTAAATACAGATATCTATATATTGATCAGACAAGTTGCTACTTAGAAGTAACATCAAAAGTAATCGACATGAACAGATATTTAAATTTACAATTTAAACTAGAACTAGAGAATGTTAAAGGGAAAAATTATTTAATCGTATAAAATGCCATCACTCTGGTTTTACAAGTGAAGTTACCTTATGATATATTATACAAAACTCACCATTTCTGTCAAGGAGCTGTATCCCACGTGCCCAACTCCGTCTGTGAGAGAAAACGGAAAATGGTACGACAATATTTTTCTTCCCCGATCTCAGTAAACCGCAATGTGATGTTCCGGAGAGAATGAGTACAGTAAACCTCCAGTTTAACGGACTTTGGATTTAAAGAACGAAAATTGCTAAAGCAGAATAATGTCTGTAAAATCAGAAAAACCTGACTTGACACGCAACAACGATGAAATGCACAAATGATAAAATATCGTTAAATGTTATACAATATTGAAATTTATGATCAGCATTGGTACTCTGTCGGGATAGGTCAGTTACATTGCCATGGATATTTGTTTCATTTGCTTTAGCGATTTTTATAAACTTTGTATATACGATACAGTGGAAAGGATCGTATATTTATGATAATTAATTTCAGACAGTGATCCAGTAAGCACACATACATAAATTCTCATATGCGTTTCGGCGTTGAAAAAAATTCATTCGTGATTTAATGGACATACAGCAATATCGGTAACCCCTTCCCTTATATTACAGTCCTTTGAAAAGACGGGGTGTTTCGTTATTAGAGATGGAATAGACTGTAAACGTGATTTTTTGCTTATATATGAAGGAGGTTCACACTAGCCTTTACTGAAATTCCCATATTCATCATCATAGCAACAATTTGTTTTTCACATTGGTGATAATAATAATAATAATAATAATAATATCGGAAGAGCTAATAATAATAATAATAATATTAATAATAATAATAATAAACTTGTTGATCCACACGTCAACACCTAAAGGAGCATCTTATCATATAAACGAAATTATATGTTTTTTGTCTTCCATTTACTCTACCGCTTCACATTCCTAATTCTTAAAAAAAAGGTACAGTAAATCCTCGGTTTATTCCGGTATTGGAATAACGATGCAACAAATGCCTTTTAATTGTTCACCTTTTCCACCTTACTCCCTTGCCCATAGTAGAAATTTAATCGCTATGAATGTTACTTATACAGTTAACTCTCGGCTAAAACACCTGACTACCACAGGTGAAACCATTAGAGACCTGGACTGGACCCGTAGGACGTCACAATAGATAATGCAGTTCAGCAAGTAGAAACACTAGAACTTAGTAGAAGAACTAGCTCTGTGTGATTACGGGGGGAGTGTACAGTTCTCTTAGAGGTGCAGTGTTCATGAGCCATTGAGACCTACTGTACACAACTAGCCAGTTTTCTAAACCTAATCTCTGCAATTTGTGTAGCAGTCGTGCTGAAAAGAGAACAAAAGGAAACAACGTTGTTTCAGCATGGAATAAACCTTTACTTGGTCCTTTGCAGGCTATGCATGCTGACGCAACTACCTGCATGAACTACTTATAGTGAGCTACAGGGAGTTCAAAATAAAGTGTTCATGTGGAAAAACTGTTTGGCTTTTTCCAGATAAATAAATAAGATAAATAAGTAAATGATCTGGCAGAAACATGGGTCTGGAGAGACAGTATATTTCATATCTTATACACCATATATTTGGAAATATGTTTGTTAAAATATATTATGGTAAATATTTATTTCATTACATTTCAAATATAATCTTATATCTATATATTTGAAGTAAATATATTTTGCATTATACTGAAAGATATGTCCACACATTATGTCTGGTATATTGCAATATATTTCATTTTCATAAGGGAGAACATAGTATTAGTTATTGCCTGCTACCAGGAATCAGAGGACAAGGGTTACAATTACAAAGTGGTGAGATATGAATAGGTGAGACACAGAATAAATGACAAAAGGAGGCATTGCTTTTACACAATAGGTTGTAAGATGTTGGAATAAGCTAGCCATTCAAGTTGTAGAAGCCAATAACAGTGCTTTCTTCAAGAAAGGACTGGATAAGATCTTTATTTGTAAACTCTCATTTATTCTCCACTTACTGTAGTTAGCTACTAGCAATCAAAATATGTACTCTGGTTTTCAACCTTTCTTATGTTATTACCAAGGAAAATGCTGAGCTAGGACTGAAAACTTCACAGCTTTGATTATTAATGTGTCCTCATTATTTGTTGTTTTTTTCCCTATTATTGAGTATACTGTAACGAACGGCCGACATACAGGTTGTACGAGCCGGTTGCAGCGCGGTGACGGCACCGCCCTCTCCCCTGCGCATAACAGAGATGTTGGCCGTCCGGGCTGAGCTCAGCCGGCAATATCCCTGTTGAGCGACGCCGGAGACCCGGGTTTGATTCTGAGGCGGAGGACGACTTGGGGCAAGAGCGGTAAGGGCAGAAACCCCAAGAACCTGAATTCGCTACAATACCTTATTCTGAGGCATGATTGAATTTTGTGTGTGAATGCTTTTTTGTAAGGTCTGGATTAATTTGAGTTCAGGCTTTCTCAGGAACTGAGTACATTTAGGTGTAAATACTGCACAGGTAGGCATTGGTATCTGTAGGTTTAGAGATCCCTGTTTACTGCTTGTTTTTTTATGTCAGGAGGAGACATCCTGACACCCTGCAAAGGAGAGGGTTGGTTTGCCAGCAGCGTTAAAAAATTCAGCAGCACTGGACCTGGAAGTTATCTAAAGGTTATCTGATTACTCAGTCTGTACAGTTAAATCTTTGGCCAGGGAACAGGAGCAGAGCCCTGGTCAAAAGGATTCAGTTCTAGACCATCCTTCCCCATATTTCTTCATTTTGTATGTGACAAGTTTCTCATGCATATATTGGAGGCTGGCAAAAGAGAATCCTGAGCATCAAAACAAGTTTAAGACCAGCTTCAGCACCTACCCAACTACTTGTCTCCATATGGAAAACACATTTTCTTTTCTGTACTGATTAATTTTGTTTTCTGTCATGATGCTCCCATTAACCCAGCCTTCCAGCATGGCCCTGGCAAGATTGCCAATCCGTTAAAACCAGACAACAGTCAGCAGGTGAAGGGGAGATGGAGTCTATTTCCAGCCCAATTCACTGCAATCAAAAATAAGTGTCTAACACCTGTACTCACTCGAAGCTATTTTCTTCAAGGCAGATGGAAGTAAAATGTGAATTAATTGAACAGTCTTATTCACTAAAGACGTCATTAAGTAAGATGTCTCATAAATGAAAAAGAAAAGTTCACCTCTGCACCTTTTTTTAGAACAATTTGGATCAGTGCCTGTCTGATGTCTGATTACTTTGTAGTTTTTATGCAGAGTTTCATCAACTACTACTCAATTATCTTTAAAAGCCCCCATTCAACATGAGTGAATTCGTCTACAGAAAAAGACCAATCTGTTTCATGGGATAATTCACATTTCTGGGAGTCCTAGTTGGCTATATTACCACCTATTACAATTCTGTATACACATTTACATTTACAAAATAAATATACTGTATTGCTTTCTTGTGAGTGTAAACACTATATATAATCTCCATTTAAAATAAAAATGAATGGGAAAATGGAATATGCTTTGCAAACATACATAACTATCACTGATCAAAGATAATTTAAGAGCAATTTTCAAACAGAATTGGTCCAAATGAAGTTCTTTAAACACTATTATTTATTATTAAATATTATTTAATAAATGTAACAGTTATGTATTATCAAATACACAGCTGAGTATTTCTCAACACTGAGAAATGTACTAGAACATTATGAAATAGAAAAAGTGAGTGTCACATTCCAAGAAAATTCTTAAGAGAGTATAGATTTAATCCTAAAATAACTACAGCAAATAAAATAATATGTGTCATGATTTAGACTGATGGTGGAGGGTCTCTGCACAATCTCACATACAGTAGTTTGCTATATAAAGGATGTGCAGGGTTTGTTCATTTAAGTCTATTTCTTAGTCTTGGGACAAAATGTCTACAGTGAAGACTCTGGGGTTCCTCTTTCTTGGCATATAATCTGTTACTATGATTAAGTTACTAAATAACATTTAGATATAATTTCTTTAATGTCCTAAAATCCATGTGTTTTTGCAGAAGGAAAATCAACTTTGTACAACATCAAGAAAGAAAACTTCCTTTAGGGATGCTGTAATGAGAATTCAAAAAATGAACAATTGTCAAAATCCTGGATAAAAACAGGTGTCAATTTGGTGGGTGGAAATGTTTTGTAAATATGAGCATAATGTACAAAATCATGAGGATGTCTTAGATTATTAAAATTAAGTGTCATGAACTACTGAGAGTCCTGCAGGAACGTGCCTAAGGATATTGCACCTGTAGTCATGTATAGAAAGTTCTGTTGTATATAATAAATTTTACTCAAATAAAAGTTTAGCCAACTTTATTATCAGAAATGTAACAGAAGGCAACCATACTACTTTTTGAAATTCTTGTATGATGCTTTGCATAATATGAAGTTTTTACGACACACCCAAATCTTCTATTGAAAAGAAGTGCCTTGGTTGTACAAGATATACTGTATATTCTGCAACCTTTGGTAGCCACCTGAATTCAGGATGCCCACACACTGTATGTTTAAAGAACCTACTGTATACTTCACAGTGTTGTGTCTGTGGGCTACAAGCAACTTTCATCTAATTTTGTTTCCGGTTCCGAATGTCAGGTGCAAATATTTTGTTTCTTGTTTTAATATTCTGTCAGTCAGCAAGAGAATGACAAGATTTTTCTTTCATGGTAATGTTGTATGTCTGATACTTTGGAACATTCCATAATATTTAATTTATTATACTTTTCAGTCTTCTGAAATGCATTTTTATTTGGCTCACAAGGGATATTAATGATTTAATAAAAGAATGCATTGATTAGTTGCAGCAGAGTTCACTGCATTATTGAAGAAGTAGGTTATCACAAAAGTAGAGTGGTATACCAACTTTTGCCATCAGCCCTGGATCCTGCTCTACAAAGTATTCACCCTGTGAATTCTACAAGTAATTTCACAGGATAAAGGCTCAAATGGAATTTAAATCACTCCTTAAGTAGTTGTTGTTCAGGAGAGGAGTTTATAAAGGAAATGGTGAGAGAAAGAGACAGTCTACCTTTGGACTCAATGGAGTGAGTGTCATGATCGTCATCCATCCTCTTAAGGGCGCTCCGACTCTTTTGTATTTTAGTTCATTAGGTGCACTTGCTCCCTGTTTGTCCGTCATTATTAAAGGCTGGTGCTCTCGCTATTCCTGGCTCAACACTGGAAGATGGACGCCACATGGCTTGCCTATTCCCCGGTCTCGCGGGTAGCCCGAGGGCAGGCCTTATTCCCCGGCATCCTGGCCATCTGAGCCCGGGGCTCAGAGCGCCTGGCCTCATTATTCTATTTTAACTCCTTGTTCCTGTTCCGGTTCCTGTTCTAGATTTAAACTTTGTCTATCTCGGATGGATTCCCGGGTTCCTGGACTCTGGACTGCTATCTGGTTTACCATTCTGGATTGTTTGCCTTCGTCATGCCTCCCGCGCACCAGATCACCGCCATCACTCAGCCCATCTTAATCCTGCTCTACCTTTCCCTGAAGTCCTTCTCCGCTTACTTCTGGATTATACCGTTTGCATAGGGTCCTAAACTATGCTTCATGGGGGCCTGGACCGGCCCCCGTTACAGTGAGGCCAACTGAATGTGGCTGACCACCTCTGAAAAACTCAAAAAAGGAAAGAAATAAAGAAGTATACTGATACAGGCCCAGGAAGAGACTGGACAGAAAAGAAGAAAGAACCCTTGTCAGACCTGGAAGAGCTCAGTGTTCTCAGTCTGGGCTATAGTCACATGCATGCATACATCCAAAGAAATTAATTTATCAAAAAATCAATCTATCAGACAGAAATCATTACCACCATACTAGGAGCCCAGTGGACCTTGTCACAACATAGTAACCAAAGTGGAAGGATGACAGAAAAGCTAACAGGAATGAAGGATGTATTTCTGGTCTAGTCTGTTGCTGCCCAGCAGGAAGCAAATAGAGTGCAAAAAAGCCCAAGATTATATAAAGATAAAAATAACAGACTAGAAGAAAACTGCTTGGATCCCACAGGATACTTACAAAGC